GAATATTTGTTTATTATTATTTGTGTGATGGAGTATATTTGTAATAGAAATTTTATTAGTGCAGATAAAGGGATAGTTACCCTTGATAAACCCTCCTCTCAGTCCTACTCTCAAAGATAATTACTGTTATAGGAGGTATGTGTGCTTTTAATCCTTTCTTCTGTGTGTGTGTGTGTGTGTGTGTGTATATATATATATATATATATATATCTACATATGGAAAATGATACCTAATCATACATTCTTTAGATCTTTCCATGTTAGTGTATAAACCATGGGATAATAAATATATCATTCTGTGGGCGTAACCATAGTTTAATAGTTTTCTTATTAATAGGCATTAGGCTGTTCCTGGTGTTTTACAGTAAAACTGTTCTGTTTAGTAATCATGTTCCTCTTGGAATATGTGCTCAAGTTTCAAGTTAGTCTAGAAATAGATTATCTGCTTGAAGAATCTTTGCATTTAAAATATTAAGATTGGGGCGCATGGGTGGCTCAGTTGTTAAGCATCTGCCTTCGGCTCAGGTCATGATCCCAGGGTCCTGGGATCGAGCCCCGCGTCAGGCTCCCTGCTCTGTGGGAAGCCTGCTTCTCCCTCTCCCGCTCTGCCTGCTTGTCTTTCCTCTCTCGCTGTCTCTCTCTGTCAAATAAATAAAATCTTTAAAATAAATTAAAAAAAATAAAGTGTTAAGATCAATAAAGTGAAATAATTTATGGATGACACAGAATTGCAAACTTTTCATTTTGTCAGGAAAAAAAAAACCCCACCATATATTGTTTCTATCATTTCATAAAAGGACATTTAAAAAATTTTTTTATTAATTTTTTTTAAAGGTTTTATTTATTTGTTTTAGAGAGAGAGCAGGGAGGGGCAGAGGAAGAGAGAATCTCAAGCAGACTCTGCTGAGTACAGAGCCTGACTCAGGCCTCGACCTCATGACCCTGAGATCATGACCTGAGCCAAAATCAAGAGTTGGAAGTTTAACCGACTGAGCCACCCAGGCACTCCTGAATATATTTAGTTTTATGAAAATCTCACTGTTGTCATTATTTTTCCCATTTTACCATAAATTTTCACACAGACCAGCTTGGATTGGGGTAGAATTTTGAGAATCACTGTTGTAATTTATTGTTTTGCACCCAAACAGGTAAATCTAAAGGAGTTACTCTTGCATTTAAAAAAAAAAATTTGTTTTAAAGATTTTATTTATTTATTTGACAGAGACACAGCGAGAAAAGGAATATAAGCAAGGGGAGTGAGAGAGGGAGAAGCAGGCTTCCCGCTGAGCAGGGAGACCGATGCGGGGCTCAATCCCAGGACCCTGGGATCATGACCTGAGCTGAAGGCAGATGCTTAACGACTGAGCCACCCAGGTGCCCCTTAAAAAATATTCTTAGTACTGAACTGATTCTCAGGTTGAGAAATTAGGTCCCAAGTACTGTCATCATGCTGGTCTATGTGAATACCATAAGTAGAAACCGTGTTATTTTGTGAACCTATCACAGGAGCATACATCAGGTCCCAATGCCAGACCATTGAGACTGAGGCAGTACTGAGTACAGAGTTGTGGGGTTTTTTTGTTGTTGTTGTTGTTTTAAAAATGGCTCAGGCTCTGGGGTCAGAAAGTCTGTGTTTGGGTCCTCACATTCCTTTTGACTTCATAGGCATGCTTTTTAACCTATCCAGGCCCCATTTTCCTCTTTTATAAAATGGTGATAGTAATAGTATATATCTCATGAATACTTACAAAGATTCAATGTATTGATGCTCAGTGGAGTTTCTGACTGTTGGAAAGTGTTCGTTAAATGAGGGCTATAATCATGACATAATTATTGGTGTATTTAGCCCTTTCACAAATATTCATTGACTGCTTATATGTCAAACTGTGCTTTGTGCTTAAATTAGGAAGATGAATTTCTGTTTTTTAGGAAGTTGGAGTGTAAGTTAGAGAGTTTGACACTTAAGCAACTAGCAGTAGGTATTAAAGTGCACTAGGGACCAGTCATCAATTTTAAAGAGTCCTTGAACATTTGGTAAAGAGTGAGAGAGGGTATGGCAACAAGGAAAACAGGAGAAACAAAGAAATGCTCTTAAATCAGATTGTGCTTGGTGTGTTTGTGGTCTGGATTACTGTAGAATGGTGCAGATAGAGTTTTAAGAGCAAGGATGAATGGGAGATTAGATGAAGCACAACATTTATAAATTTACAATCAGTGTACTTATTGTATGTATTATCAGCAGCCCATAGGCTGTGGAAGAAGTCAAGAAGAACTAGAGCTGCACTTTAGTAGAAGTCTGGAGAAAGAGGAGAATAGAATGTTAATTTTAGCGTGACTTAAAAAGCTGGGGGTGCCTAGGTGGCTCAGTCAGTTAAGCGTCTGACTTTGGCTCAAGTCATGATCTCACGGTCCTGGGATCGAGCCCTGCATTGGGCTCGCCACTCAGTGGGGAGTCTGCTTGTCCCTCTCCCCTCCCCCTTCTTGTGTACTCTCTCTCTCTCAAATAAAATCTTTAAAAAGCTGGTCAGAGGTGGTCTCTGGTGTCCTTGAGAATTCTTTGAATTATATGAATGTCAGTTTCTAGCTTTGATACAGGAAACAAGGGCATCCTGATTCAAAGGCATGCTTTCCTTAGGACATCTCTTATTGCTGTCTCATCCAAATGAATGCCAGTATTCTCATGGATTCTGATGGTGTGGGGGTAGGAAGATGGGGGGGTAAAATGACCTGTAGGATTAAGAGGGCCAAATTGTTTATAGCATCTTGCCCTATCAGAGCTTTCTACAGCCTAAAAGTGTTTGATAAATACAGGTTTGGGTCAAAGCCTTCTGATTCTTCAAAGCAGCTTTGCTGAGAATGAGCTTCTCTTGGAAGTTGTAGATCCCCAGAGACCAGGACAGGGTGTTTTACCTAGAAGACAAATTGTATATTAGGCTGCAGGACTCATGAAACCCTTGCCTGTTTCAGACCCTGACCGGAAAGGAGATTGAGATTGACATTGAACCCACAGACAAGGTAATGTATGGCCGGTACTTCATGCCTGTCTCCCTACATGCACATTCACTTGGAAATGCTGATGGACTTAGTCCTTTTCGCCCTCATGCTGTCTGCATAGCTCTTGTTGTTTCCACTCCGTGGTTTTACCCCTTTGCAGTCCCTGACTACTTATACCCTTAAAGGTGGAGCGAATCAAGGAGCGTGTGGAGGAGAAAGAGGGCATCCCCCCACAGCAGCAGCGGCTCATCTACAGTGGAAAACAGATGTGAGTTTGACATGGATATGAGGTGTGGCAATCTTACGTGACGTTGAGGGAGCAGATACTGGAGGAGGAGCCTCAGATCCTTTGATGATTTGGTGAAGCCTGTGAATTCCTTCTCAGAATAAGATTTTTGCAGACATAAAATACATAGATTAACAAGAGCAACTATATTGAGATATAGTTCTCAAAATACTAAAAACAAATTTGTGATAATATATATGGTTTATTAATACGTTAAGATCTAATGGTGGGTTTAATTTACCATAATTTTGACATATTTTCAAAATACTTGCAAACAGTTGTAATATGATATGAAAATATCCAATTTCTGTTGTTAACAGGTTACTCATGTTGCTAATACCACTGTGAGTTTTTTGCTTGTTTTCAAAATTAAATATTTCAGTTAAGGGTCAGTAAAAATAAAGATGTAATTTTTTTTTCATCTGAGTTCATAGACCAGGAAAAAGACTCAAGAAACCCAGTGTTAGAATCCTGTTCTACATGGTATTTCTAAAGCATTTTTTTTTTTTTTTTGCCTTCTTTTCCTGCAGGAATGATGAGAAGACAGCAGCTGATTACAAGATCCTAGGTGGTTCAGTCCTCCACCTTGTATTGGCTCTGAGAGGAGGAGGTGGTCTTAGGCAGTGATGGACCCTCCCTCCATTTTACCTCCTTACCCTGTCTCTCGTAATGAGGCATCATATATCCTCTCACTCTGTGGGACACCAGAGCCACTGCCCCTTCTCCTGGATGCCCAGTCTTGTTTGGTGGGAGATCGTGAGGACCCCAGGATGCAGGGTTCCTGGCCCAAAGGGCCCTTGCTGGCTGTTGGGTTTTAGTTTGCAGTCCTGTATGCTTCCTTCTCTTATGGCCACGTCCCTAGTTGTCAATAAAATATTTCCTGACCTCCTGAAATCTTTGTTGTATTGCACAAATGTGAATGAAGTTGAAATGGACCCAGTGCACACTCATTTACACCTCTAAAGAAGTAGGGCAATGGGAGGGAATGTGCCCTTGGGGTGGGGGATTATCAGACTCTAGGAAAGTCTACCCAAGGTGGTGTGCAGCCAGTTCTTACCAGCTCAGGAGATCTAATTACTGGCATCTCTTCCCAACCCCGTAAGTGATTTCATGCTGGTAGCTTGAAATTGGCCTCAAGTGGCAAATCAGTCCCTCTCCCCAAACTGGTTGTTACACATTTACCAGTATACTACTGATGGGGGTGGTAGAAACCAGGACAGTGAATTCTCTCCCATTTTAGCCCTCCTGGACATTTGGGCCTGGTTCAAGAAAGGCCTCAGGGCTTTACGGACACTACATTGTGGCTAAAATGCTGCTCGGGGCTCTGGGTTCTAAACTTAACAGAAGACAGGCCGATTTGGAGATAGGTTGAGGAGTGACAAGCTATGGATCAGGTCTCAACTGGTAAGAGAAAATGAGAGCGGTGCCAGGCGAAAGGGCTCCCTTCCCTGGCTTCTCTAGTTTAGCCGACTCCGGCCGGGCTGGGTGGAGTGGAGGAGTAGGGGAAGAAGGTGTCTTGGAGAGGCTGGAGCACTGTGGTCCCCCGCGGCGGTCGCGTTGGCACTTTACGGCAGTCCTTCCCCCGCTCCACCATCAGAAGGCGCTCTTGCGCGGTCTCCAGGCGGACTGTCGCAGGCCCGCGGCGGCGACGCTCTAGTCGCCGTTTCTCTAAGGCAGGCGGGGCGGCTTGCAGCCGCGAAGAAAGCCTCGCTCGCCCGCCATGGCGCGGCTCCCGAGGCTGGCGGTCTTCGATCTGGGTGAGGAGACGGGCCTGGGGAGGTTCGCAGGGCGCTCTCCTTTTCCAAACCGCAGCGGCAGCTCCCGAGACCTGCGCGCTCCGAGCCTGAGCCCTCCCTCCGTCCTCCCGCAGATTACACGCTCTGGCCGTTCTGGGTGGACACGCACGTAGACCCCCCGTTCCACAGGAGCAGGTGAGGCGGCGCTGGGGAGGCCGGCGCCGGGCGGGGCGGGGCGGGCCGCAGCTGAGCGCGCTCTCGCCCCGCAGCGATGGGGCGGTCCGGGACCAGCGGGGCCAGGCCGTCCGACTGTACCCAGAGGTGCCCGACGTCCTGCAGCGGTTGCGGGACCTTGATGTGCCCATGGCGGCCGCTTCACGGTGAGGAGAGCGACTGAAAACGCTGCCGGGTCTCAGGCGGAGAGACGCAGGCAGGAGACGTCTCGCGTAACCCCGGGGCTACAAAAACTTCGGCGGGGCAGATTTGCATGTATTTGCATATCGTTGTCATTGGGCCCTCTCCTCTGCCTTTAATTTATTAAACATTGGCTCAGCCGCCGCCTGTGTCAGACGGGATAGCATAGGGAGTTGAATGAGGACCGAGGATGCCTACCTATCCTGGAAAAAATAGCAAGTTGATTTCCCCCCTGGTTAAATATAACTTGGCTTGCAGCTCTGGCCGTCCGGATCCCAGCTCTGACACCTTCTTGCAGGACAGGGGAGATCGAAGGGGCCAACCAGCTTCTGGAGCTCTTTGACCTTGACAGATACTTTGCTCATCGGGAAATCTATCCAGGCAGCAAGGTCACCCACTTTGAGAGGTAGGTGGAGATAAAGGTAGAAGCAGGGAGACCAGAGAGGCTGAAGGAGCTAAGAAGCCGGCGGGGCCACTCCCTGCCCCTCCTTGCACAGGTTGCAGCGGAAGACTGGAGTTGTTTTCTCCCAGATGATCTTCTTTGATGATGAGAAGCGGAATATCGTAGACGTCAGCAAACTGGGTACTGAGTGGTAAGATTAGCCCTTTGGGGAATGAGGAGAAAGGGTTCGGATGAGGGGTTAGGTAGGTATGTATGGGATGGATGATTTGCATGACAATATTTGGGTGACACCCAAAAAAGGTGAGAGGAACAACAGGCCTGCTGAAATGTGGCTTTTTTTTTCCCTTCTAGGAGTTACCTGCATTCATGTCCAGAATGGAATGAGTCTTCAAACCCTAACTGAAGGACTAGAGACATTTGCAAAGGCCCAAGCTGGGCCCTGAGGTCCAGTCTTGTGGATGAGCCTCATCTGAGGCATAAAACTGAAAGGAAAGCAGGAAGGCATTCTCAGGTGTATTTGTAAATTATTAAAGCATGTTTGTGTGTGACAGAAGAGGTCCTCCTGCATGTTTCTATTTGTCTAGCGTTGTAGCCAGCCTCGGCTAACTAGAGGTGCCAAGAGCGGAGCGCGCGGCATTAGTCTAAATCAGGTTGGGCCATAGAAACTTGTGGCACACCCGACTGTAACCCCCCCACCCCGCCTTGTGCTCGCCCCATCCGCACTCCGTTTCCTGAGCTCTGCCAAGGGCCTGAAGAACTCTTCCACTGGCCCCAAGCAGTGGGACGCGCGACCCTGCACACTCCCTTCCAGGAAAACAAATACTGTGTTTTGGTGGGGAGGGGGTGCGGCGGCCTTTTTATAGCCAAAAATGAAGCGGCCGCTTTAAGTGGAGCGAGTGGGTTGGGGGCTGGTGGCTCGGGTCACGTGGTAGAAGTGGCCTCGTCGGCTCCAGTTGATGATGTCGGGGCGGTGCCCCAAGGAGGGATTGGCCCAGGCCGGTCTCGGAGCGCCGAGGCCGCACCCTCCCCGAGCAAGGCGGAAGTTGCCCGACGCCGAGGGGCGGAGGCGGGAGAGGCGAGGGTGGCGATGAGTGGGCTCGGCAGACTCTTCGGGAGGGGTGAGCTGGGGCGAGGCTGGCCGCGGGGGTGTGGGGGAAGGCCGTGGCCCGGGGCTGCCCCGAAAACCCCATGCGCGGCCTAGCGAGGCCTCCTCACGTGCCAGGAGGCCCCGCCTCGTCAGGGAGCCTGAGTCCGGCTGCCTCCCCTCCCCCGCCGCAGAGAGAAGAGCTGGGGGCCGGCCCGGGACGGGAGCGGAGGGTCCCCACTGTTCAGGCGGGGGGCGGGGGGGATGAGTTTCCGCTCGTCCTCATCTACTCCTTTCCAAAACACTGGTGCTTCCTTTATGCTGGCCAAGAGGGCATCTGAGGTGATGAAGAAAGATTGCCTACTTAAAGCTCCTATCTGGTAGGGCAAGACAAGCCAAAACTGACATACACACTGTCGTGTAGCAACTCCATGACGGAGATGTACCTACCACCCAAGGAAGCACAGAAGCAGCGCGCGGGGGTAGTGAGCCAGAAGGCTGGAGGTACGCCGGGTGGAGAATTGAGGTTGTCCAGGAAGATGTAACTGTGCAAAACAGGCAGGAAAGAGTATGGTGTGTTTAGGGGAACGGACTGTGTGTGTGTGTGTGTAGAGGTAAACAAAGGCCAGATCAAGAAGGGCCTTGTATGTCTTATTCAAGTTTTGGATTTTATCCTGTAGGCAATAGAGAGTGTGGAAGGATTTTAAGCAGGCAAGGGCCATCGTTTTTTTAGGAGTGCAGAAGATGAAGGGGAAAATTGAGATCAGATTTTTTTTTTCTCTAGCCCCTGTACTTCATTCAGTTTGATCCTGTGGAGTCAGGACCTTGGGCATCTGCTAGGACAGCAAGTGCAACAGTGATTACAAAAAGTGACCAAACTCTGGTGGGGATGTGATAGTGGGGCGGCTGTGCATGTGTGGGGGCAGGGGCTGTATGGGAACTCTGTACCTGACACTCAAGTTTGCTGTGAACCTAAAACTGCTCTGAAAAACAAAGTCTATTATTTTTAAAAAAGGCCTGGAAATGACTTGAAAGGCAGCTTGGAATAGCAAACGAATACTGGATTTTGAAAGTCATACTGCCACATTTTGATTACTCCTCTATTCTTACTAGCTGTGATTTTATTTATTTATTTTAAAGATTTTATTTATTTATTTGACAGAGAGAGACACAGCGAGAGAGGGAGCACAAGCAGGGGGAGTGGGAGAGGGAGAAGCAGGCCTTCCACTGAGCAGGGAGCCTGATGTGGGGCTCGATCCCAGGACCCTGGGATCATGACCTGAGCTGAAGGCAGACACCTAACAACTGAGCCACCCAGGTGCCCCTAGCTGTGATTTTAAACAAAAACAATTTAACATCTTTGTGCCCGTTTTCATATTTGTAAAGTGAAGGTAGTACATTCACCGTAGAGAGTCCTTTTGGGATTAACAATAATGCAGTCAAGTGCCAGCACATACTATGCACTTAGTAACTGGTGGCTGATAGTTTTCCTCCACACAATATGGGCCTGCTTGATTGGACTCCAGGGAAGAAGGAGAAGGGGCCAACCCCTGAAGAGGCAATACAGAAACTGAAGGAGACAGAGAAGATACTGATCAAGAAACAGGAGTTTCTGGAGCAGAAGATTCAACAGGAGCTACAAATGGCCAAGAAGCATGGGATCAAGAATAAGAGAGGTAATGGGGGAGAGGTGCCAGTAGGGTGGGCCCAGGTAGAAAGCAAGGGCTTCTGGCTCTGATGTTCAGGGTGTGTGCTGGGTCAGCCGCCCTACAGGCTTTGCGGAGGAAGAAAAGATTGGAACAACAGCTGGCACAAACCGATGGGACATTATCCACCCTGGAGTTTCAGCGTGAGGCCATCGAGAATGCCACCACCAATGCAGAAGTGCTTCGTACCATGGAGCTTGCTGCCCAAGGCATGAAGAAGGCCTACCAGGACATGTGGGTACGGGGGGAGGGAAGCAGGGGGCCCAGGCGCTGGGGAAAGTAGCTTGGTATTGTACTTTGAATCTTAAAACCTCTCAGAATGTGAATTTACATTATAGACGTGCCTATGACAGCTAGACCTCTGTCGGTCTCTTTGCTTCCTGTAAGATCTCTTTGCTGGCTAAAGCATCATAACGAAGAAAGATGATTTAAGACCCTTCAGAGAGGAAAGTGCAGCCTATCCTCCCCAGTGTGGCTTCTTATCCATCCTCAGGCCAGCCTTGCCTCTGTACAATTTCCCAGGGACCTCTTCTACCTGATAGCCAGGGATTTATCAGCCTGAGGCCACAGACAGGAGGGGCTTCACTCAGGCAAGACAGGAGCGTCGGGAGGGTTGTTTCCTGATTTCCTGGCTGTATATCTTGTTCTCAGGGACATTGACAAGGTGGATGAACTGATGGCTGACATTACAGAACAACAGGAGGTGGCCCAGCAGATCTCAGATGCCATATCTCGGCCTGTGGGCTTTGGAGATGTTGTGGATGAGGTGATTGGGACTGAGGGGTCAGGGAATATGGGAGAAAGCAGACCAGCCAGAAGGAATGCCCAAGAGAATCATGGGGCAAGTTTGGGGGAGGAGAGGGACTCCAAAAGTGGTATGTTTTTGGAAGTAGAAATTCCCTTTCTTCATCTTTTTTTTTTTTTTTTTAAAGATTATATTTATTTATTTGAGAGAGAGAGCATGAGATCACGGGAGGGGAGGGGCAGAGGGAGAGGGCAGAGTCCTAAGCGGACTCTGCTGAGCTTGGAGCCCAACATGGGGCTTGATCTCACAACCCTGAGATCAGAGCCCTGAGATCACAACCTGACCTGACACCAAGAGTCGCACGCTTAACCAGCTGTGCCACCCAGGCGCCCCTCATTTCTTCATCTTAAACAGTTTTGTTGTTCCATATCCAGGATGAACTGTTGGAGGAGCTAGAGGAGCTGGAGCAGGAGGAATTGGCCCGGGACTTGTTAACTGTGGGTGACAAGGAGGAAGAACCCCCCACTGAACTGCCCAGTGTACCCTCTGCACATCTGCCCGCAGGACCAGGTACTCAGGGCTATTCTATTGTCTTAAGGACTTGAGGTGGGATAGATATGGGGAAAGATTATTCCTCTTACATCCTGCTTCAAAGGAACCAGGCAAAGAGGGCTGCTGCTACCGTTGCACAGGTTGTTGACCGTATAAGGGTACCTGGCTGAACAGGAATGAAGACTAAAGTCCAGCTGTGCCTCATTCGGCAAGCTGGGTACCCTGGTGTAGGGCTGCAAGTTCTGGGAGAGAGAAGCACATTTTCTTAATTTGTACAAGGGTTCCCTGGGAGTTAGCAGCAGCCCAGCAAGCAGAAGGACCACACCTTTAGGTTCTTTGCTGGGGAGAGAAAATTCAGCAGACTTTCAGTGTTCATTTTTTTTTTTTCTTTAAGATTTTATTTATTTATTCATGAGAGACAGAGAGAGAAGCAGAGGGAGAAGCAGGCTCCCCGCAGAGCAGGGAGCCCGATGCGGGACTCGATCCCAGGACCCTGGGATCATGACCTGAGCCGAAGGCAGCCGCTTAACGACTGAGCCACCCAGGCGCCCGACTTTCAGTGTTCTAGCAGGGGATTGTTGGAAGTTGCTACGGCCCTAACATTTCTTTCTTTCTCTGGGTATCCTTGTCCCTGAAGCTCCTGAAGCAGATGAAGATGAAGAAGCACTAAAGCAGCTGGCTGAGTGGGTATCCTGATAAGTCTGGGCTTGTTTTCCCAGTGCTGCCTTCATTGGGCTCTTTTCCTTAAGTGCCAAGTGCTAAGCTAAAGGAACATAGCCTCTTGGGGAGGTCCTGCTGAGGGTGATAGTGTGACCCTGCCTGAAAAGGTGTTGTCGCCCTCCCCTCCCTGGCTCAACTCTGAAAAAAGACCTTGGTGCGAGAGGAGCCCCTGGGCTCCCTTCTCTGATAGCAGTTACAGTGCCCCTGTTCCCAATAAAATCGGGCAGATGGAACCATAGTGCTTATACTGCCTCGTCTACACCTGAAACTCTTCCCTGGCCTTTGGAGCTTTGTTTCAAGCATTGAATCACAATGGGAGTAATGAAGGGAATAACGAAGTACTGGAACAGAGAACAAATGAGAGTTGACAATATCTTGACCTACTATGTTCTAGGTAGGTACTATTTCATCTTTCAAGTTGGTTTGTCCTAGAGTTGCCTGGTGCTGAGGTTAAGCACAAGTATTATTTATCTTAGACCTATATGGAGCTGTCTCTGAGTCTTCTCTCATTGCTTTCCCCCAATCATGCCTCTGCCAAGACAGCCCCATGATTTACTACTCATTTTCCTTTTGCAAAGCCCATTTTCAAGGACAGGGAGGGAGAATATAGGGATGAAGGAGCAAGTAGCTTTCCTTTATTCAGAACCCACGGTAAATAGGCTTGTTTGAACGTCATTTCGGTTTCTTTCTTTCTTTCTTTTTTTAAGATTTGTTTACTTATTTTGAGAGAGCGTGTGCATACAAGCAGGAAGGGCAGAGAGAGAAGGAGAGAGAACCCCAAGCTGACTCCCTGTTGAGCGCAGAACCTCATTTGGGGCTCAGTCCCACGACCCCGAGATCATGACCCAAGCTGAAACCAAAGTGAGACGCTCAACCAACTGCGCCACCCAGGCACCCTTGCCATTTCTAAGAGCAATCGATGAGGGACCATGATTCACTGGGATTGTTCCAACAGTGGTTAAGGTGGCATCTGGAGAAGGAACCAAGATATGTCACACATCCTGATGCCCATTTCAAAGGGAACAAATAATGCCATCCCTTTGGACTGTAAACAGAGGCAGAGCCATAACCAAATAGCAACCAGGGCCTCTATCCCACTGCTTGAACATTTAGAATGCACAGAGATGTAAAATAATAAGCATTTACTTAGCCAGAATAATGAAGCTTCCCCAAAGTGGGTGTTTATCCCCGCACCCTCTCCCCCATGAGCCGCGTATGAGCTACATTGTGAATTACCCTATTGACTTAAAGACATCAAGGTGACTGGTTACAGACTCTGGTTAGAAATCCACCTCTTGGTCTCAGTAGGGTTCCCTGCTAAGGTTCCCCTGAAGAAAGAATGTCTTTGACTCCAGCTGATGAAACTAAATCAGAAATAGATTTATTTTTGGTATAAAGGATTTTTAGCCCCAGACCCTCCTGCTTTGCTCCTCTTCCAACCCCTTCCTTCAGCCATTTTTAGGTATTGATTTCCAAGGATTGGTGCCGATTAGTGGTGCTGGAGGGTTGGCACATGGCCTCAAGCAGCCTGATCTCCTGGGTGGGTTGCTCAGGCTGGAACTTGAGCACCCAAGGATCCTTGATGATGTCCAGGATGGTGGCACGCTTGGTGGCTTGGCGTAGCGTCTGGAGGACCAGGTTCTAGGGCAGGGGAAAGAGAGGTCTTGGCTGAGCTCGCCCCCCATTGTGCCACACAGGCAGTGAGCAGCTGGACCTAAGAGAGAAGCAGGATAGCCCATCACACCACTCTGGTGAAAGGGGGTGTGGTCCTGATTTTATCCTGAAGAGCAAGGCATTTAACTCCCTGGAGGAGAGGGAAAGGAAGGGTACCTTGGGGGAAACCTCTTGCATAATCCATTTCTGGCCTAAAGAGACAGAGGCTGAAACCTGCTTGACTCACATGTAAGGTGCAGAGCCCAGGGGTGGCCCTTTAAGGTCCCTCCCCGCCAACTACTCTAGGGCAGGGGCTAAAGTGTGAGATGGGTCTGGTGGGAAAGAGCCTCCCCCAGGGTGGGGAGGCCTAGGATGGGTCTTCTCTCCCTGTGGGTCATCCCTGAGGGCTCAGCCCTCCTGGGGGAGCCAGCACCTTGCACTCCTGGGAGATGGAGTAGTTAGATGGAAAAGTGACCTCCTTTTGAGTCTCTTTCAGCAGCTTCTTGAGATTGGTGTCATCGAAGGGCAGCCGGGCGACCACTAGAGTGTAGAGGATGACGCCCATGCTCCAGGTGTCAGACAGGAAAGGGTTGTAGGGCAAGCCCAGCAAGATCTCCGGGCATGCATAAGCGAAGCTGCCACAGTAGGTCTGGCTGAGGTGGTTTGTAAAGCAGTTCGTTTGGCGGTAAGAAGGGCTACTATGCACTGTCTGGTTAGAAGGCACCATCTTGGCGAAGCCAAAGTCTGATATCTTCACATTCTCCCGCTTGTCCAGCAACAGGTTCTCCAACTTTAAGTCCCTACCAGCAGCAGAAAGGCTGGGGGTCAGGCTGGGGAGAGGGCTTAGTATTAGACCGGGAGCTGAAGGGCCAGGGGTCAGAGGCTAGAGATGGAAAAGGCAAGGTGGGAGAGAGGTGCCATTATGAGGATACAAGGTAGAGGGGGAAGAGCCATGGAGTTGTGAGCAGAGCCCAAAGGTGAGAGAGGATGGTACCTGAGGACCACAGGGGGCTTGTCATTGTAGTTCAGAGTGCTGTGCTCACAGTGGGCGCTACAGAAACGTTCTTGAGCAGAGAATTAAAATAGAGGGGATGAATGGGCCTAGATAACTGAGGAAGGTCAAGGGAGAAAAAAGAGGGCAGAAAATGGGAAATATGCATAAAACCCCCTTGAGAGCCCAAAGGCCCCAGCCTGGGTGGCAGCGCCCTCACCGGTGCACGATGCCCTTGCTGTGCAGGTAGGCGATGCCCAGGGTCATCTGGGAGAACCACTTGCCAGCAAGGGGCTCAGAACAAGCCCCGTATCGCTGGATCCACTCAAGGACATCACCGCCCTGAGCCAGCTCCAGAATGATGTATACTCGGGATGTGGTTTCGATGGCCTGGTAGAAGTTGATGAGGTACTTGTGCCGCAGGACCCTCATGACCTGGCCCCGGAAGAGGGACCCATCAAACCTGGGAAGGGAGAACCCGGGCTGTGCTCCCAGCCCTCCTGCTGTCTCACGGCTAACTTAACTTAGAACTCTGCAAGCGGATTAAACTCCAGAGGGCTGGGTGATCTGTGGGCAAACCCTAGGCTTTGTACTTCTACTTTGTGAGGGGCTGGAGGTGAGTGGGTGGGTGGAAAGAGACTGAATTTACATCAAGTCATTTTCCTGCTGCTTAGTGAGACATTCAGCCCTGCGGGGGTGGGGGGGTGGGGGGGTTCTCACTCCACCCCCTCCTAACCACACCCCTTCTGAGAAGTCTTAAGCAGCTTGGTCTCAGTTCCCTTTCCAACCTGTATCTCACGGGGCAGGAACTTGTTAAGATAGTCCTCAGAGGCCTTCTTCTTTGAGATGATCTTGACAGCCACCATGACCTTCTGCTTTGTGTAGTAAGCCTCATACACCGTCCCATAGGAGCCATTGCCAATGACCTTGCCCACCTCGTAACCATAGTCCTCCATGACAGAGCGGTAGGCTGAGGTAGGTGGTGCTACCTCTGAGGTGTCTCCCTTCCCCATGGTGTTGGGCTTGCTGAGAGTAGGGAACTGTGCTACTTCGAAGCCTATTATCTGCTCAGAAAGCCAACCTTGAGCCACTGAGGGCTGGGGTAACAAAGTAAAGTTAGTCTCCAAATGCTTGCCTATATAGTCACACAAGTCTGGGATGCTGGGCTCACCTCCCCAATGGGAACGTGGAGAGGGGAGAAGGGGGCAGCAGTTCTTTTTGTCTCCACTGGCTGTTGTTACTTCTTCCTCCTCCTGGTTACGGAATTCGCCAAGGTCCCATGTTCCGCATACATCACAATTCACCTTCTTTCCACCTTGGGCCACAAGGCTTGAGAATGAAGTGCACGGTGGAACATATTCCTGGAGGCAGCTTCTGTAGTCTGGTGAGAACCCCCCCCACCCGCCACAGATCTAGTCCCTTCAGCCATTCATGTCCATTGAGCACCCACTGTGTGCCAGGCCATGCACTGAGTACTGGGATAAAACAGCTAATAACGCCAACAGAGACCCTGTACTCAGAGTTTATTATCCAGAATGAGAAACGTGTGTGAGAATATGACAGAGAACTGCAAGGTGTTGTAGAAGCCTATTCTAAGGAATCTTAACCTTACAAGGTTTTTTGTTTGTTTGTCTGGCTTAAAGCAACCACCTTTTATTTATTCATTTATTTTTTGGCAAGTTGAGCTGTGCTCAGTTGGGTGGTTCTTCTGGTGGTCTCATCTTAGCTGGGGTGGTTTGTTTCTGCTGCATATGGTCTCACTATCCAGTGGACTAGCCAGAGTTCTTCACATAGTAGCAGAGAATTACATGAGGGAAAAAAAAATCAGAAATTGCATGAACAATTAAGCCTAGACTTCAAAATTGCGGAGCATCACTTCCATACCTTTATAAAAATAAAGAGTTTCAAGGTTACTAGGATCCCAGATTGAAGGGGTGGAATAGACTCCACCTGGGAACTCTGAAATGCATTCTTATCTTCCCATGACCCTAAGTTCTGTACTTTTCCTCCTCTCCCTCTAGCCATTCCTCAGACTTCACTGGAGCCTTATCTTCTCTGTCCCTTAATCATATCCGGAAGGTTCTACCACAGGCCTTATTTCCTCAGAGCTTTATGTCCTCCCATTAGGATCTCACCCATTTCCCAACACTTTAGTTATTACATCCATGCTGACTGCTCCTAATCTCATCTCTATCCCAGATGTCCTCTGGAGTTCCAGATCCAGCATCCAGTTGCTTACTGGACATCACATGGACATGTCTCCCTCAGGTATCTTAAACTCACCATGTCCAAAATTGAACTCTTTCTGTTCTTGCCCTAGACTTCCTCTTTCTGTTTTTTTTTAAGATTTATTTGACAGAGCGAGCACAAGCAGTGGGAGCAGCAGGCAGAGGGAGAGGGAGAAACAGGCTCCCCGCCAAGCAAGGAGCCCAATGCGGGGCTCCATCCCAGGACCCCGGGATCATGACCTGAGCTGAAGGCAGATGCTTAACCGACTGAGGCACCCAGGTGCCCTCTGTTGAATTCTATACTCATCTTCAATTTGCACACCCAGTCATCCTAGACCCTTCCCTCTGCCTCAGCCCTGACATCCAATCTGTCACCTCTTCTACCACTTAAAACTATCTTTAGTAATACACTCCAGGCTCTTGAAGCGGCTGCCATCACCTTAGGTCAAGCCTCCATCAACTGATCACTCTAGCAAGCCTTCTGCTCCCCTCCAGTCTTCACCCTGAACTCCAAGGCATAACACGGATTTGATTCCCACTTAAAACAATTCAGTGCCTCCCCATCTGCCTCAGGATCAAGTCCAAATTCTTTTTTTTTTTAAAGATTTTATTTATTTGAGAGAGAGAGGGAACACAAGCAGGGGGAGCGAGAGAGGGAGAAGCAGGGTTCCCGCCAAGCAGAGAGCCTGATGTGGGGCTCGATCCCAGGGCCCTGGGATCATGACCTGAGCCGAAGGCAGCCACTTAATGACTGAGCCACCCAGGCGCCCCAAGTCCAAATTCTTTTGTATGGCTTCAACATCTGACCCTGATACGGGGCTCTACCCCAGGACCCTGGGATCATGACCCGAGCCGAAGGCAGATACCTAACGACTGAGCCGCCCAGGTGCCCCTAAATAAAATCTTTTTAAAAAAAATATTCAAACACCTATACCCAAGGATGCTAAAAAAATCTTAACAGTGTGTTAAAATCATTGTTTTTTTAACCTCAGTTGGACCCCCAAATGCTGCCCAGTGATCCTGCTCATTTTCCAGATCAGCTCACTTCCATTCCCCACAACCTATTCTCAGACCTCTTAACTTCATCTCCCTCTTCTGGTCAGTTGACCTCCCTTACAGCCCTAATGGGAGATGCAAGCAGAAAAAACACAATTACAGACATTACGTTAGATGCTGTGACAGAGAAAGTACTGGGGCTCTGGGAGCACCCAGAAAGGAGGAACATCCAGTTTGGGCTTGAGCAGTCAGTAAAGGTGTCCTTAAAACAGCTCATGAGATAAGTTCTCAAGGAAGAGTAGGGGTTTGCCAACACAGAGGGAACAATGAAGGAAAAGTAATTCTCTTTGGCTGGAGCACTGCATGTATGTTAAAAGATAAAATTGGGGGTGCCTGGGTGGCTCAGCTGGTAAGCGTCTGCCTTCAGCTCAGGTCATGAACCCAGGGTCCTGGGATTGAGCCCCGCATCAGACTCTCTGCTCAGCGAGCCTGCTTCAATTTATTTATTTGACAAAGAGGGAGAGAGCACAGCAGGGGTAGCAGCAGAGGGAGAGGGAGAAGCAGGCCCCCTGCTGAGCAGGGAGCCCCCATGTGGGGCTCGGTCCCACGACCCTGCTAGAGGGATTACCTGGATTTAAGACTGTGTGTGTGTGCAGGGTGGGGGATGGCACGCAGGGGAAAGAACAAAAGAAGAATCATTTTCTATCTTCCAAAAACCAACTCCAACAGCAGATTGTGCCATAGGCTACTGGTAAATTCCTGTTTATTGACAGCCTGCTGATCCTGCTGGCAGGGTAGTTCCAAAGTTTGTTGGAAGCTAGATCTACATTCTCAAACTGCCAAGATGAGTTGTCCAGGACACACTGTGGTAAGGAGGCCCACCCTGCCCCGCCCATCTTCTGCTCCTCTGGATAAGTAGCTTGGTGGCAGCTCTGTCCTCATCATGTCCAACGGGTAAACCAGTTTATTCAAAACACGTGTATTAAGCTGCCTACTTTATACAAAAGCACTGCTAAGTCCTGAGGATATCAAGATGGATAAATTACAGTCTTCCTGTGAGTAGTTAGTAATTAGCAAGGAAAACAGACACATAAGTAGTAAAATAACAGTACGGTGAGATAAAGTGCTATAAACAAAGACGAAGATGTAGAGGCAGGCTTTATAGAGGAGGCATTTGTACTGTTCAAGAGGAGTCTCCAGGCAGGTAAGTAGGGGATGGTAGATTGGACAGTCTAGGCCAAAGGAACTATATGAGGCTTGCAGGCTTGAGAGAACATGACATTCAGGATTCTAATTTGAATACAATTAGTGTACCTGGAGAAGTAATAAAGATCCAGGTCTGACAGGCCTCATATACCAAGCTTTTTAGAATTTATCCTATGTACTCATGTTCAAATTTTGGTCAAAATAGTCAAAGTCAGAGCCTGTTAAAAAATGATGCCTAGCCACCTCCTCCTCTAAGATCCTGATTACATGGACCCAGATCTCCCTGTTTTTAATAAGCTTCTAGCTGAATCTGATGCACACCAAGATCTGAGAACCACTGTTGCAGGAAATAGTATATATAGTGTATATATGTATGAATCAGCAGCAGAGTGGAAAATGGATCCAAGAAGGGAGGTGACCAGGAGACTAGCAAGGTGGTTGTCATGGTAATTTAGGTGCGAGAGGATGAGACCCGAAGCTAGGCAGCCAGGGAGGGCAAGTATTTGGAAGATACTGAGGAAATAAGCAGCAGGGGGGCTTGATGGCATTGATCAGAGGAGGCTGGGGGTTGGGACGGGGGAGTAAGTGAGAAAGAGTCCCAGGTTTCTGGCTTCTCTAAGTTACTTTTCTAATTACAAAATTCACTGATTTATCTAAAAAACTCAATCCCCTACTTCCTAGAACCTCACCTCTTCCTCCTGCAGGGAGGGGGGCTGGGTCAGAGAGGGCAGAAGAGGGTAAATGGAGGACTTTTCAGGCCAGAAGCCAGTTAAGATTTCCCCTGTACTACTTTCCCGGGGGAAAGGGAACCTTAAGTCTGCATCCTTACATGTTGCCCCCAGGTGGCCAAACGGTAGTCACTGCCCCTGGGTCTGATCTTTAAAACTCCCCTAATGGCAGATCCCCTTAAAGTAGCGAGACAAATAAGGGCAAACTTTTCCAGAGTAATCTGCAATACAAAATTAAGAAAAGCCCGTACACATACAGATAAGTACGAACAAAAACATCGAAAGAGTCGAACGTATGTCAAGATTCTTTACCTGCAAGTAACGATAACCCTGTCAGGCTGCCCAACTCACCGAATGAAAGCGCTGACACCCTGTCTGTCTGCGTGCCTCCGCACCAGACCTAGCTCAGGCTTGCCTACGTTCGAACATGGGACGGTCATGATAAGGCCAGGGAGGCCTCCAGTGCAGCCTCCGGAAGAATTTTTATTCACGTATTTATTTTTCGGCGGAAGACCATTCGTGACGGGTCAAGAGAAGCAGTGAGGTGAGATCCCGACTCCAGGACCCTCGCATGGACTGTGCCCGGGCTGTCCTAGCACAGAGACGCCCAAAGCCTCACTCACCCCCGCCCGGGCTGGGGGCCAAGGATCGCCTCCCAGAGCTCGCCCTCTGCAGTCGGTGGCGAGTCCCACTGGTTCAGCCGGCAAATGCTCCGGGGCGTCCACTAGGTGTGGGCCCAGCCACCAACCGGGCTCCATCGCCTTAACAGTCACTGGACGCGTGCGGCGGGCAAGGCTCCTCGGCTTCCGCCCGTGCCCCAAGTCTTCCCGGGGGGCGGCGGCTGGCGCCTCTCACCCCGAAGGGGCGTCCGCGGCCTCGCAGCCAGGCCTCAGCCGTAGCCCCGGCCCGAGAAACCGTCGCCGGAACGGCGTCCCGGCAGCCGCGGCGGGGGCGTGGTCCCCTCTCGGCTCCAGGAGAGGAGCTTTCCGCCGGGCTGAGGTCCCCGCGAGTGAGGCGGAAGTGGTAAGACTGACGTGTCCTGGGCTGCTCTGCAGATCGCCGGGAGGGCCCCCCGCCGGGGGCGGTGGGGGTCGGGCTAGCCGAGCCTTGCGGGCTCTCCGGAGCTGGGCCGGCCTCCCGGCTGGAGAAAGCTCGTCGGGGAGCACCTCACTAAGCCGGGTGCGGCCGCAGCCTCTGCAATCAGGCACCGCGGCGGGCAACCCCGTGGAGGTCGGGCGTCAGGTCCCCGCCGCTCTGGGGGAAACCCGGGCAGGAGCCCAAGGGCAGCTACGGCGGCGCAGAGGCCGCGGGCGCCGCCTCGGCCAGCCCTACCTGAGCGGTGAGGACCCCGCGGATGCCGCGGGAAGGTGCCGGAGGTGCGAGGCCGCGTGGCGTTGCCATGGAAACGGGCTGGGGCGCGCGGGGAGGTCCCGGGCAGGCGGGCTGCGGAACGGGGACCCCAGATCCAGAGGACGAGAGAGCAGAGGCGGACAGAGGCAGTATTGTGTGGGGGTCGGGGGGGGCGGCCTTCCGAGGGAGGGTTCGAGAGGCCAAGGGGAGAAATTGGAGCTATGGGGCTTCGTTTCAAAGGACCTGACCTGGGGCGTCAGGAGTTGATCCCTGGTTTTCATAACTGCAGGATTCCCCCAAACAGGTTCCACTGCCTTAAGGATGACAGTCCTAGGGCACCCGCCGAGTTGGAGCTGCCAGTGGCTGCCATTCCTGATACTGCTGCTGGGCACAGGCCATGAGCCAGGGGTGGAAGGTGTGACACACTACAAGGCCGGTGACCCCGTCATTCTGTATGTCAACAAAGTGGGACCCTACCACAACCCTCAGGAGACTTACCACTACTATCAGCTTCCGGTCTGCTGCCCTGAGAAGATCCGTCACAAAAGCCTTAGCCTGGGTGAAGTGCTGGATGGGGACCGAATGGCTGAGTCTTTGTACGAGATCCGCTTTCGGGAGAATGTGGAGAAGAGAATTCTGTGCCACATGCAGCTCAGTTCTGCACAGGTCAGCCTCTCCACATTGGCGAGCATTTAGCCCTACCTCCCAGGGACTAATAACAGTGCCTTCTAATTCATGGTTTTATAGCACCTCTGTGGAAATGATCTGACTTGATTCTAACGCCAACCCCACTGGTAGGCAGGACAGGTGGTACTATTTGCATTCAGTTGAGGAAGAAACATACTTGCTCAAAAGCGACTTTTCCAAGACTACATGGATATTGAATTGCAGAAGTGATACTAGAGCCCAGGGCTCCTGACTCCAAGCAGCTCTGTTGGTAATAAGGGCCCAGCCGTCACTCCTGCATGGTTTCCTTCCATACCTACCTCTTGGCTTTCTTAACTAGCTCCTTTACACTCTTACCTTTCCTGTGATGCTTTTTTCTTTAGCAAATCCTTTCTTAGGGCACTCTTCTTTAGTCTACCCTAGACTTTCTTACACCTTGCCTTTCTCCTTTTTCTACACCTTAACCCCGTCAAGTCATATTGCTCTTTTTGGAGAATCCCAGCATACTAGGATCTAACCCAGTGGCTCTCAACAGGGGGCAGTTCGGTTTTGTCTCTCAAGGGACATTTGGCAATGTCTGGAGATCATTTTGATTGTCACTACGGGGGGTGCTACTGACATCTAGTGGGAAGAAGCCAGGGATGGTGCATATTACAGTGCACAGGACAGCTGCCCACAATAAAGAACTATCCAGCCCAAAATGTGAGTAGTGTCCAGGCTGTGAAACCTTGCTCTAACCCTCTGCCTGGGGAGGCCTTGTCTGACTCCTGACTTGCTCTTTGTAGGTGGAGCAACTGCGCCAGGCCATTGAGGAACTGTACTACTTTGAATTTGTAGTGGACGACTTGCCAATCCGCGGCTTTGTGGGCTACATGGAGGAGAGTGGCTTCCTGCCTCACAGCCACAAGATAGGGCTCTGGACTCATTTGGATTTCCACTTAGAATTCCATGGAGATCGAATTATATTTGCCAATGTCTCGGTGCGGGATGTCAAGCCCCACAGCTTAGATGGGTTACGACCTGATGAGTTCTTAGGCCTCACCCACACCTACAGCGTGCGCTGGTCTGAGACTTCAGTGGAGCGTCGGAGTGACAGGCGCCGTGGTGATGATGGTGGTTTCTTTCCCAGGACACTGGAGATCCATTGGTTGTCCATCATCAATTCCATGGTGCTTGTGTTTTTACTGGTGGGTTTTGTGGCTGTCATTCTCATGCGTGTGCTTCGAAACGACCTGGCTCGATACAACTTGGATGAGGAGACTACGTCTGCAGGTTCTGGTGATGACTTTGACCAAGGTGACAATGGCTGGAAGATTATCCATACAGATGTCTTCCGCTTCCCTCCGTACCGTGGTCTGCTCTGTGCTGTGCTTGGTGTGGGTGCCCAGTTCCTGGCCCTTGGCACTGGTGAGGTGATAAAAATTAATCAGGGATTTCTCTCAAGGGGTAGAACTAAGCAGGTGGTTTGTTCTGGAAAGATCTCCTGATCTTCTCTTCTGTCCAGGTGAGGGGCAGACCTAAGGGGTGGGGTGGCCTTAAAAGAGATGTGTATAGAGGCACTTGGGTGGCTTAGTTGGTTAAGCTTCCAACTCTCGATCTCAGCTCAGGTCTTGATCTCAGGGTCGTGAGTTCAAGCCTGGCGTTGGGCTCCATGCTGGGCATGGAGCCTACTTGAAAAAAAGAAAAAGAAAGGATGTGTATATTCAGTTGTGGGTTTGCTGGACAACAGAATTAGGGGATATTGTTTTCCTGGAGACCTTGGGTCTGGGTGAAAGGGGGCTGATTCCTCTGAAATTGCCAGAAAAGGGATAGGTTGAGACCTGACACAGGCTTTCCACTACCATCCTGCAGGCATTATTGTCATGGCACTGCTGGGCATGTTCAATGTGCACCGTCACGGGGCCATTAACTCGGCAGCCATCTTGTTGTATGCCCTGACCTGCTGCATCTCTGGCTACGTGTCCAGCCACTTCTACCGGCAGATTGGAGGCGAGCGTTGGGTGTGGAACATCATTCTCACCACCAGCCTCTTCTCTGGTGAGGACTGTCCTTTCCCTCGTGGGCCGATTTGGGGAACTTAGAATACATTGTGGAACCTGGGATAGAGTTAGAGTAAGGCTTTAAGGGAATAAAAATAGGCAAAAGAAACAAAACCATTCAGAAGACAAGAATGCGTTTCTTTTGCATAGACAAAATTAAGTAAAATGTTCTAGGCAGTATGGTAAGCACTCGACACACTTCATCTCATTAAATCCCCACAGCAACCCTATATGGTAGGTAATATTGTCCCCATTTTATAGATGAGGAAGTTGAACTTCAGGCTGCTTAAGTAATTTGCCCGACACTACGCTCCTAAGAGGGAGTAGAGCAGGTTTCAGACCCAGGCAGTCTGACTCGAGAGCCCGTATTTGTGACCATTACATGAAGAGTGAAGTAACACTCTTTCTGGAACTTATTTTTTGGTACTCTCCTTTTAAAAAAATTTTTTTTATTTGGAGGTGGTTACAGGACTCTAGCCTTACAAGCCGGTTTGTCATTTCAAAGGCCGTAGCAGTCTGCATTCTAAGGCTTTTGTGTTCCCAATCCTGATTTATATTTCATCACATTTATGTTTGAACCAGAGCTTTCTGAAAACAGGTCCTTAATCCAAAGGGATGTCTCATGCTAGGAATCACAGATGCCACAGCAGGATAGGGCCTCGGAGGCAGGTGGATCGTATTACTCTAGATCATTATGTAACAGCGGCCTTGCTCTTTAATGATAATGACGGGGGAGGAGATGTTGGTAAGATAAGGAACAGGAAACCACGGATGTGGAAGGGCGAGGTCTGCCTGGGAGCAGGATGCTTTGCCCCTCTCCCTGTTAGGTCTAGTCTGAGTGGGTGGCCCCAGGGTGTAGCTCCTCCTGTTGACCCTTCTTCTGGGGGCCCATCCCTGCAGTGCCTTTCTTCCTGACGTGGAGTGTGGTGAACTCGGTGCACTGGGCTAATGGTTCGACACAGGCTCTGCCAGCCACCACCATCTTGCTGCTTCTGACGGTTTGGCTGCTGGTGGGTTTCCCCCTCACTGTCATTGGAGGCATCTTCGGGAAGAATAATGCTAGCCCCTTTGACGCACCTTGTCGCACCAAGAACATCGCCCGGGAAATCCCACCCCAGCCTTGGTACAAGTCTACGCTCATCCACATGACTGTTGGAGGCTTCCTGCCTTTCAGGTATCCTCCCTTTATGCCATGGCCATCACTCTTAGGTTCCTGACTTTTCCTTTCCCAGTACCCTAGGCCCAGTAAGAGTGATAATCCCTGGTTCAGCTTTACCATTAAGAGATCATTAAATGGGGCGCCTGGGTGGCTCAGTTGGTTAAGCGACTGCCTTCGGCTCAGGTCATGATCCTGGAGTCCCGGGATCAAGTCCCGCATCGGGCTCCCTGCTCAGCAGGGAGTCTGCTTCTCCCTCTGACCCTCCCCCCTCTCATGTGCGCGCTCTCTCTCTCTCTCTCTCTCATTCTCTCTGTCTCAAATAAATAAATAAATCTTTAAAAAAAAAAGATCATTAAATGGGTCCTCCTTTCTCCAAGCAGGACTCCGCTTGAAGCAGTTCACAGATGAGGGTGTCTCACTTAAAAAGCTCTCCAGAGACCTTGTTCCTTTCACCATCTTTCTGGTTTGACTTTAGCGTCCACAAGCACCACGTGGGGCTTGAAGTCTGTGTGATTGCTTATTCAATTTGTTGAGAACCTCTAGTGCCAGGCAGATAAGACAGCAGAAAAGAAAACAGACAAGATCCTTGCTCCCAACCGATGAGGGCAGATGCTTCTGGAATGAGCACGGCTGGTGGCGGGTAGAAGAGTCCCCAGGGAGCTGGGAACTCCCGGGCAGGGCGCGGAGCTGCCCAGTACCATGGGGGTGTGGAGCTGTCCACCCGGCTGGCGGTGCACAGCCCTTTAATGCTGTGTACCATCTTTTCTCTTCACAGTGCCATCTCCGTGGAGCTCTACTACATCTTTGCCACAGTCTGGGGTCGGGAACAGTACACTCTGTACGGCATCCTCTTCTTTGTCTTCGCCATCCTGCTGAGCGTGGGGGCGTGCATCTCCATTGCGCTCACCTACTTCCAGCTGTCTGGGGAGGATTACCGCTGGTGGTGGCGCTCTGTGCTGAGTGTTGGCTCCACTGGGCTCTTCATCTTCCTCTACTCCGTTTTCTACTATGCCCGGCGCTCCAACATGTCAGGGGCCGTACAGACAGTAGAGTTTTTTGGCTACTCCTTACTCACAGGTTACGTCTTCTTCCTCATGCTCGGCACCATCTCCTTTTTTTCTTCCCTAAAGTTCATCCGTTATATCTATGTTAACCTCAAGATGGACTGAGTTTTGGAGGGCAAAACCATTGCTCTTCTCTCCCATTCTTCACGTCCAGAGGCCCATTGAGCTCTCTCAACCAACGTCTCTTCTGATTTAGTGACTGAATTGTGATGGCATCGCTGCCTTCCCCTTTGCCCTTGGGGCCTCCCTTCCCCGCAGGGCCTGGAAATTACAAATCTCTATTCTATAAGGAGTATATATTTGAACTTTTTAAGTTGCCTTTAGTTTGGGTCCTGATTTTCCTTTTTACAATTATCAAAATAAAATTTATTAAGAAAAAAGGATCCTGTAGTCAGAGAGTTTGGTCTGGATATAGGAACTCGAGCCCTGCCGTTAAGGGCACTGTCCCTTAGAAAGCCGGGTCGGCGGCGGAACGCACGGAACGCGAGTTCTCCTCCCAGCTTGGAAACACTCGGCCCGGGGAACCTGCCTTGCCGGGGCCCTGTTTCCGCGGCTCGGCGGGCGCGCAGGCCGACGGAAGTGGCGAAGCGGGAGCTCCGTGTGGGAAGCGAGTTGAATCACCCTGGCGACGGGAGGGGCGCGGAGCAACGCCCTTTCCGCCGGAAGCGGGTTTCAGGGCCTCCACGTGCAGTCCCTCCCCCCTCCCGACCCAGTAGCGGCGGCTCGGCTGCTGCCATGGAGCCCGCCCGGCTGGAGCAGATCCTGCGGGAGCTGCTGCTGCCGGACACCGAGCGCATTCGCCGGGTACGGGACAGGGGGGACCCGGCCGGGGCGAGCGGGAGGTGGTGGGAAAGGCCCGACTCTGACCCCGGGACTCCTCCCAGGCCACCGAGCAGCTCCAGACCGCTCTTCGGGACCCGGCCGCCCTGCCCGCCCTCTGCGACCTGCTTGCCTCGGCGGCCGACCCTCAGGTGAGGCGCCTGCCCCTTCCCGCGGAGCGTCCCATAGTACAACACCGGTCTAGCCCCAGCTTGTCCCCTGCGCCCCGCCCAGCACCTTCCTGCCCGGACCCTCACATGCGTGCTTCTTCGTCCCAGATCCGCCAGTTCGCGGCCGTGCTGATCCGCAGACGACTGAGCACCCGCTGGCGACGGCTGGCGGCGGAACATCGGGAGAGGTGGGCGGGGCCAGGGGCGGGGCGGGGCCCGGCGGAGGCGGCTCCGGGGCAGGCCAAGTACCCACACCTGCCACCTGTGTTCCAGCCTCAAGTCCCTGGTCCTGACCGCCCTTCAGAGAGAGACCGAGTAAGTGCCTCCCTGCCTCCTCTTGGGATCCTGACTGACTCCAGGCTGAGACCCTCTATGGGTTTCTGCCTTGCCTTTCGGCTCCGGACAGGGCCGGGGAGGGGGAAAGATGTCAGTTCTAGACCAAGGTGGGGCAAGGATTCTAAGACTGTGTTGAAGACTGAATTTCATGAGAATGGGCTGTGGTGGTCTGCCAAACCCGAATCAGAAAAGTGGAACTGAAATCCAGTCTGCGTGAGGGCAGACTCATCAGATTACACACCCACCTTGCTGCTCCCTGTGAGCCACCGTCTTATGTGTCCCAACTTGGCAGACCCTCTGCCCACACTTGGAGGTTTCTGTCCTGGCCACCCCATGGAGGCAGGCCCAGCGTGTGCTGGGGAGGGTGTTGGAGGGTGATTGGGAGTGGGGGGCAATCTCTCCTGTTCGCAGGCACTCTGTGAGCCTTAGCCTGGCCCAGCTCTCAGCCACCATTTTTCGAAAGGAAGGCCTGGAGGCCTGGCCTCAGCTCATGCAGCTTCTTCAGCACAGTACCCACAGCCCCCACATCCCAGAGAGAGAGGTACTAGCACACGGTGGGAGGGAGGGAGGGAGGGACCAACCGACAAGCTGGAGAGACCATAGAAGCTTTTCTCTCCCATCCTCTACACCTGGACAGATGGGGCTTTTGCTGCTAAGTGTGGTGGTGACCTCCCGGCCTGAGGCCTTCCAACCCCACCACCGGGAGCTTCTTCGGCTTCTGAATGAGACCCTTGGCGAGGTGGGGTCTCCGGGGCTCCTCTTCTACTCCCTGCGCACTCTGACCAGCACAGCCCCTTACCTGAGCACTGATGACGTGGTGAGACATGGGTCCTCACCTGCCCTGGCTCCCTGTCCTCGGGCCTTCTGTGTCCTCACCCCTGCACGATGCAGAACTACCTCAGACTCTCTCCCGTTTGTCATCCTGAACACTTGAGAAGAGATACTGTGGGTGGCTGTACCCGGGCTCCTCCTGTGTCCAGGCTTTGAGGAAGCTGCCAGCTTCTGGGGCCTGAGATGAGTGAGCATGCATTATGCTTTTTACCCTCCAGCCTCTCGCACGGATGTTGGTGCCCAAGCTCATTGTGGCCGTGCAGACTCTGATCCCTATAGATGAGGTGAGGACAACATTCGGGCAAGAGCTCTGTTGTGAGGAGGGCGTAGGAGCCCACTGCCTGGTTCACTGAAGAAGAGCATGGTAACCCTATAACTTGTTTGTCCGACAGGCAAAGGCCTGTGAGGCTGTGGAGGCCCTGGATGAATTGCTGGAGTCAGAGGTGCCCATCATCACCTCCCACCTCTCTGAGGTCCTCGCATTCTGTCTGGAGGTGAGCCGGGGATGGGCACGGCCGCTGCTGCTTGTTTTGCTGGGCGTTTCCTTGCCTGTCTGATTCAGGTTAGTGTCTGGGCAGGTGGCTAGAAATGTGGCTCTGGGTGATGCGATACGTGTACGGATTCTCTGCTGCCTCACTTTCTTGGTCAAAGTCAAGAGCAAGGTGAGTACTCTCTGATGCACATTACTGCACCCCTGTTTCCATCCTTTGCCTCACTCCTGGGACATTCTGTTCTTCTCAGGGGTATCTTTTAAGTATTCAAAACTTGATCTGGCCTCACCCCAGCTCCTGGCTGGGAGTTTGGGAATCTCCTGCTAGACCCTTTGTGGCCTAGAAGGCTGGATTTTTTTTTTTTTTTTTAAGACTTATTTATTTATTTTAGAGAGCCGTGTGCACACGAGCAGGGGGAGGGACAGAGGGAGAGGGAGAGAAAATCTCAAGCAGGTTCCCCGCTGAGTATGGAGCCCGATGTAGGGCTCGATCCCACGACCCTGAGATCATGACCTGAGCGGAAATCAAGATTGAACGGATGCTCAACCAACTAAGCCACCCAGGCGCCCAAGGCTGGAATTTTTAATGTGAGTCCATCTCGGGAATAGATTCTCAGGGACACGGTTCCACCTTCCCTCTCAAGGCCTTACTGAAGAATCGTCTCCTACCACCCTTACTACACACCCTTTTCCCCATTATGGCTGCCGAGCCCTCCCTGGGCCAGCTGGATCCTGAGGACCAGGATTCGGAAGAGGAAGAGCCGGAGATTGGGCTGGTGGGAGAGGCTCCCAAACACTTTGCTGTACAGGTGGGATGTGCGATGGGCGGGGGCAGGGGCTTGGTCGCTGTGGGGCAGAGATGGAGTCCAACAAAGTCTTCCTGTCTTTTTTCAGGTCGTGGACATGCTGGCACTACATTTGCCCCCCGAGAAGCTCTGTCCCTTGCTGGTAAGTGTGGCTCTGTCCTCCTGGTGCCCCTGTCCCCCGGTATGCCTAGTCTCCCGCCACTGAGGATGTTTGGGCCATGGCAGGTGTGGAGGGCCGGTTGCCGCAGGAATGGGCAGACTTGGACCAGGGTTTCAGGAGAGTACCATCCGTTCCCCTAGATGCCTATGCTGGAAGAGGCCCTGCGGAGTGAGAGACCGTACCAGCGCAAGGCTGGGCTCCTGGTGCTGGCCGTGCTTTCCGACGGAGCTGGTGACCACATCAGACAGAGGTGTCTTTGTCCTAGAGTGAGGGTGGGCTGTGGGGAGGACCACTACATGGCCCATGACGGTCCTGGTCTCTGTTTGCTGTTGGAGCTTAATTAGCAGAAGTGTTTCCCCTCACTCTCAGGTGCCCTGGTTTGGAAGATAATTGAAATGGCCACCTCAGCTATAGAGACCAGGGGGTGGTGCCTACTGTCTGGTGACATTTCCCTGGTTTCCCAAGGGGAAAGAGGAGAAGGGCTCAGCCTAGGGCTTTCCGGCCCCACCCCTCAGACGGCATCCTCGGCTTCTGCCCCCCCCCCCCCCCGCCCCGCCAGGCTGCTGCCCGCGCTGCTGCAGATCGTGTGCAAGGGCCTGGAGGACCCGGCACAAGTCGTTCGCAACGCCGCACTGTTTGCCCTGGGCCAGTTCTCGGAGAACCTCCAGGTCATTGGGGCTGAGCGTGGGCGGCCCCCGTTGCAGAGTCCCCACCCATCACCGGGGCCAGCTTCCCCTCAGCTTCTTGTCTTCAGCTGTCCCTGCCGCCACCAAGGGCACACCCCTGGTCAGCTGACTTGGGTCCCCTTTCCCCTCCCCCAGCCCCACATCAGCAGCTATTCAGGGGAGGTGATGCCGCTGCTCCTTGCCTACCTGAAGTCGGTGCCTCCCGGACACACAAACCACCTCGCCAAGGCCTGCTATGCCCTGGAGAATTTCGTGGAGAACCTAGGTAGGTGATGGCCCTTGGGCATGCGAGGGAGGGGACAGAGCCGTCACTTTGGATGAAAGGGGTGGGACGTGCAACCCCCTGAACCGCTGTCTGCGGTGGAGAGGAATGTGGCAGGCCCCCAAGGAGCTCTGGGCTGGATGTTGGAGGTCAGCCTGGGGGCAGGGAGGGCCCCCCCCCGAATGTGGGAGACCTGGACTGGGTGTTAGAGGCTTGCCCTTTCCCACAGGGCCCAAGGTGCAGCCCTACCTTCCGGAGCTGATGGAGTGTATGCTGCAGCCTCTGAGGAATCCCAGCAGTCCCCGGGCCAAGGAGCTGGCTGTGAGCGCCCTGGGGGCCATTGGTGAGGAGAAGGGGGTGGGGTCCCGGGTTTCCCCAGGGAGCCTGGGGCAGGTGGTCCCAGTGGTCCCCACTCCAGCTCTGAGTCCCTGTCCTTCCGTCTCCCAGCCACAGCTGCCCAGGCCTCCCTGCTGCCCTACTTCCCCACCATCATGGAGCACCTGCGGGGATTCCTGCTGCCAGGCCGCGAGGACCTCCAGCCTGTGCAGATCCAGAGCCTGGGTGCGTCAGGGGCTCAGGCAGGTTCCCAGGGCCGGGGAAGGGCTGAGGTGTTCATGGAGCTTGCCCCCAGGGCAGCACAGCTGTCTTCTCGGCAAAGTTGGAGTGCTGAGTTGCCCCCCCAGCTGCCGTCTTCGCTCGCCTACGGTTTGGCCTTGCGCCCCTCTGGCTCCTCGTGGCATCCTAGCACTAACCCAGCGCTCCCCCCCGCCCCCGACAGAGACGCTGGGGGTGCTGGCTCGAGCAGTGGGGGAGCCCATGCGGC